ACAGTCTTGATGCATTTTCGAATGGCTGCATTGAACCTGGCTTCGAGAACGTGATATCTACATTCTCCATTCAGTTCTTCAAAGGACTTCGCCTTCTCAACTTCGGTTAACCAATTGATGACGTATAGTCCATCATAGCTGTAGGCATTGCTAACAGCTTCTTTCATATTGGCTATCCATACCCTTAGACCAGCGGCGTCGGGCTCTGATGGAAGGTCAATGGAAATGCATTTAGTCGCAGCTGTACAGTTCGGATCCTGATGGCTCCTGTTCCGAATAGGTGCTGTGGGACCTGTGAACTACCGATTGACATTGCACACACAGGGCATAGGCGAGTAGCCTTACTCTACAATCCTCAATCTTGCTAGGGTCAGGAATGTCCCGATTACACATACGACAATTCCTTTCGGGAGGATCAGGACCACGCATGACTGGCGGGTCAAGGCCCGATGGATCCTTCGGTCTTGCACCATTAGGATCGTAACCTGGATAATACCCGGTTTCACGCTTATCTAGGGCTGCAGCTGGCGCAGCCTTTGGAGCGCCCTGAGAGCTTGCCGCATTGGGCTGACCCTCATTGGGAACATCACGAGACCAATCAACAGGCGGTCGCAGAGGCGGCGAGTACGACCGCGTAGGGTTCGTCTCAGGCGCGCCTCCAGGGGACCTATTTCTGATCCGAGTAGCATCGGGGTCCCTTCTCCTCCTGCTTTCGTCTCTAAGGCACGCAAGGCAACAGGGTCCTTTGACGAATCCAAATCTCCTGTACTCATCCTGCCCAGCTGATCCCTTGGTCAGGAACGAACTCTCCCTACAGACACCGCATCGGGGTCCGTCGCGGGAGCATTCCTCACACAAGTCCTCTTTGAACGAGAAACAGTACTCGCAAATCGCACCTTTGCATCCTTTACAACGAAATTCAGCAACGAGGTGGGTGCGCCCATCACCCATGTACTTACATCTGGGTTCCCCAGCGTTGCCAGGATTTCCACCGGCAGCACTCTTTTTCCCCCCTCCTCCCGGGCTTTGCCGATAAGGAGGAGGCGGTGGTGGAGGATCATTATCAGGAGGACTAGGCGGAGGTGGCCGCTTATCCGGAGTACAGGAAGTGGTGCGCCTACCCCCTGCGTGATCATTCAATCCACTACTCGATGCATGGCTCGAGTACTTTGATTCGAGAGTGTTAATTTTCTGGGCCGTGCTACTTAGCACGTTGAGCATCTGCTCAAGCTTGCTGTTGAGCGTAGTCGAAACAGCCATGTTGTGAGTATTCTGCTTGTCCGTGTAGGACTTGCAGTCCCTTGATTTGACCTCTAAATTAGTCTGCGTTTCGCAGAGTTGGTCCTTGATCCACTTAATGCCTTCCTTGTTGGTATGCCAACACTGCTCGGCGTTTTGCATCATCCTGTCAATGTTAGACATCCTGGTGGATAAGTCCTCGATTTTGAGGTTCACACCACCAATCGCAGGATGATTGGATTGACTTTCCACAAGGGATCTCTCGATTGCTTCAACACGAGTAACAAGCTCGGCAACTCGATCAGAAAGAGACTCAAAAACAGTTTGGACTTGGACGATCGATCGAGCGACGTCGTCATAGCTGGCCCGTTCATTTAGGGCGTCACCTAAGCTAGTCGTACGATCGGAAATGATCTTGACTCGTTGGCCAAGCTCGGTTACGACATCCCTAGCCCCTTGCGACAGCTGCATCGACACGTTTGCAGCCTGCGTACATGTGTTGTTCACATGGACGCATTGGTCATATTTGGCTCTCCACGAGTTGACCTCAGTGGTTAGTTGCCTGATGCATTGATCACTTCTATCATTCCTATTCCCAAGGTCTTCGACCTTAGCAACTAGGCGATGAATAATCGCACTTACGGAAGAGTCCACTTTCCCTCTTTCAAGGGCCGTGACAAGATCAGCAACCTCATTGGGCTGATCTTCACCCATTGGACTATGTCTTGATCCATGGTCCCGAGGAGTGGACAGATCAATCATGATTGGATTAGATCTCGGAGGAGTTCTGAAATCATCCTGCACGGCCGTTGATGGCCGTGGGAACTCACTCCGATTAGGAGATTGGCTCTGGTATGGCGCTGATCTCCTAGCATCACGAACCGCCGAGGGTTGTGTCATGCCCAGGCCTTTGGCAACGGACAGTTTAGGAACAATAGGCCTATCAGTTCGCATAGGAACATCAGGTCTCGAGTCAGCAATAACAATGTCATTCAAATCGGTCGCGTTGGACACTCTAGATTCAGACATCGATTCAATATCAGTCGCATTACTGATGGTGTGATTGCGACTAGAACTTGATGCCATCATGGACTCAGATTCTATCGGAACATTAGCTCCGTCGATGTTGCCCAGGGCGAAAAGGGAAGCCGCATTGGGCGTAGGGCGAACACTTTGTGCGTTCAAGCCACTCGACATGCTTCGATCCCATCAAGCACGTTAACGAGTGTGTCCGCGTTTAACGGGTCTCTTCCAATGATCGACGCTGGGTCACCTGATCGACCGCGTCCTGAGTCCCGCGTACTGGGGTTTCCCCTGTGGGCAGTTTCCCGATCCATCCCCCTTGCCCTATGCGATCCAGTCGAATTTGACCTTGATCGTTTGCTTGGGGTTGGACTGGGATGCAAATCCAATCTATCTACGATATTACGCTCCCTAGGCCTCTCAAATCCTGAAAGTCCTGGGGGAGGGGACATGTTCCTCATGGTCGGGTTTACCGACGGCCTTGGTCTGACGTTACGGCTGGCCACATCAGGATTGAGATTCTCAATTGACAAAGGTAACATGAATTCATCGCTTCCAGCAGCCCTTTTTGGGCTTGAATTGCGGGAAAGATGACGGGGCGGGTGGCCCTGGCATCCATGCGGCGAAATCCATGCCAAAAATGTTTCCGTCGTTGGGCCATGAGGCTCTCCAATCTAGCCCACCGGATTCGGTTGGCAGATGAACATCAAATGCAACTCCACTGGATGTACCAGGCTCGGGATTACCAAGCACTTGAAAAGCTATGCTACTGGTTGGCACAGGTCTACTGCTGCCTCGGGAGTCACGAACCTCGGACTGACCAATATTCATCAGCTCGGGGAAAGATGAGGATTGAGCTCCAGGTGCAATACCGGGCTCGTCATCATCACGTCCTGAGACGGAATCATCATGGTCAGGACGATTAGTCCCACGACCCTGAGAGCGATTAGCTCTCGAGGCATTAGACGATAGATCATCAGTGCGAGTAGCACTGGACCTCTCTGAAGGCATTGCTTCGGAAAAAGTGTGATCTGACAAAAAGTCAGGACCGGAAAACATCGGCTGTCCGGGCACTTGGTCGTCATTCACAACGTCCAAGATTCCGGCCTGGCCGAGAACCCACTCATCGGTCACCACATGAGGTCCATCCTCAGTGAATCCCGCCATGAGTCCTACAGTAGCCTATGGAAAACGGCGCCTGCAGGGTTGTTATTAAAAGGGGTTCGCGGTGCCAACCGAGGACAAATCCTACGGCTGATAACCTGCGAAAGGGTTTGAAACAGTATTTCGGGAGAGAATAAACAGGCCCAATCCCACCAACAAGAAGAGATTGTTTAAACCCCCCAGTCCCAAGGGCAAAGTGGTGCCCTCGGCTGGCCGAACACGAGCCAAAACAGGGTGCCAGTTGTAACAAGGTAAAGAAGCCCAGCAAGGGCAGAGACAACCGAAAGCAAGCACAAAGCAGCAAACCAAGCAGGCAAACAATGCAGCGAAGCGAAGCGAGCAAGCAAAGCAAACCACTCCAACCAAAACCCGACCCACCTCCGGAAACAGGACCACCACCCCGGCAGCGACGGCTGCGGCACAGCGCAGCCGGCGCGTAGAGCGACGCGATCGTTTTCCGACGAAATGGCGAGCAACAGTCGACGAGTGTAAAAGCTTGAGCCAAACGGCGCATTGGCCGTGGCATGGAAACATGCTATGATAAAACTACATGCCCCGGGCATCATGCCCCCAAAAACATTTTGTAAAAAAAGACCGTAACACCCGACAGGGATCACTTCCGTATGGAGCGGATCCCGTGAGCTCACCTCCCACAAAAAGAACAAGAACGAGCAGAGATGTGTTCGCACCGCCGCAAGTAGAGAAATCCGGCCCAGGGTAGGAAAACTAAAGCAATTTCTACCCTGAGGCTCAAAGCAACCAAAAGGATCCAACAGCGGAAATGCGATTTAGAGCCGAAGAAAGCTGCTGACTGGCCAGACACAGCTTTGTTGGCTTGGGCCAAGACAATGAAACCTGCCAACAACATTGTGTTTAAATTTTGCCCACTCAACTGGTAGAGTAGAAAAAGGAGCCTTCTTGGGGCTGACCATTTTCAGAGAGGAACCCAAAGAACGCAACGGCAAATGGGTGCCTGTGAACAGTTGGGACCGTCGCAATTTACATGAATAACTGCCTGTGGTCTAAATATGTAGACGCATGAAACAGCGATGACGCGAATAAAGGGATACCTTGTCGAGGGTGGCCATTTAGGGAAGCTGCGAAGCTTTCACGTGGACTTCTAGAATGGCTTGCGAGACCTGTTTCTTGAGGACACTACAAGCACCCCCGAAAAGAACCCCCCGTAGTTTGCCCTTAACAAGGCTTCAGGATAAACACGTTGCCCTTGGGCCAACATGGACGCTACACATGTAAGGGCCTCAAATATCACCCCAAACGGATCCCTCCAAAAAGCATCCAATACGGACTTTACAGCGTGGGTGTCTTTTCGGGGTGCCGGGTCAACATGCTGCCTCAGCTATTGCCCCCAAGTTTATCGAATGCTTGATTCTGGCCCCTGCTTCGAGAACCTTACTTGGATGTTCAGCCAACTTTGCAAGTAGGTTTTAACTAAGTAGTTCTGAGGGTGCCAACCTCAGTTACCTAGTTAATTACAACTAAGTTGATGAAATATACCAGTAAGATGCAAAGACATATCAAAATAGATCCTGGCAAAAGAAGCGTGTGAACTGGTCCTTGAGGGTGACATGTACCAGCCGTGGGTCCCGGATGTTCAGGATGCTCGAGGGCTCAGTCCTGGGCCAGAAGAACCGAGATACGCATGACACACATCCAGGTTTCTGGGAACTGTATCCAAAACCTCCCAGTGCCTCCAGGCAAGCCACTAACCAGGGGAAGCCATCACGCAAAACCACGAGGCTTGAGAATACGTGGTTACCTGCTGGGAAGCACTGGGCCTGAAGGGATCCACGTAAGGACCATCATCATGAGCTCCGTGGGGGGAGGAAAAAACGAACCGGTGAGCTCGCCACAAACAAAAAGTACAAAGCTTTGCCAAGGTGCTGATAGGTCTCGACCACCACCAACTCCTGGCAAGCGGAACAAGGGCCAGATTCTTACCTGGTATAGTTGAACCTGCCACGGTAGGTCTCACTTCCTGAGTTGATTGGCCAAAAGTATGAAGTCCAAGAACTCAGGGAGTGAGAGGATAAAAAAATGAAATTATAAGGACCCCTGCAGCATCTGGCATCTGGACAAACGTACCGTAATTCCTGGTTGGAACTAAGGGCAATCCTGGAGAACTTGCATCATGGGTGAGCGCGTATGCTCTGTCCAAATGCATGCAGCCTCCAGCCCCGACAAGACACTTCTCAGGAAGTTTCTCTGAACCCTCCCCCCCCCACCACCAAAGCAATGATTTAGCAGCAACCGATAGAAAAAGCATCTGGCTTGTGAGTCACTTGACTTTGGAATCAAGTCATGGATGGCGATTTCAGGACCCCACAAGGCTGAAATGAAAGCAGAATGTCCCCCTCCACACGTGCAGGGACCTTGTGGCCATGTCAACTCGCTGCCAAAAAGCAAGGGCCTTGCGCTTTGCTGGCATTCTGTAAAGACTCAAATAACTGACTCTTCGGTGTCATAGCGAGTGATCTCAACCTCCCAGAAGTCCGCTCAGAACTCGGTATCACAATCAAAACCTGGAAACAAAACCCAACAACCTGGTAAATGACGAACAACGCGCTTATCCGCACCGGTCTCCGTTTGGGACAGCCCGGGTTTTGATAGATCGCTCGCAACGTTGGCTAGACTAAGCCTGGCAAGCAGGAGAATAGCGCCCGGGGCATTACCCTTTGGGCACAGGTGTCCTTTTTGGAAAATAGATGGCCCTGGTAGATGAATGAACCAGGTAAACGAGGAACCGCCCCTTTATTTCCAACCAAACTAACCTAACAAGGACTATGACTATGCCTTTGGGTTGCCGTCTATCCCCTGAAACTGCCCAATATGTTCTGCAACACACTAATTCCAAAGCCCGAAATCAGAATTGGATCCCCGGTAAAGGCATCGGTGAGCTCGCTATCAGAGCATTCTGGGGTTGCCCCACTCCATGCTTTCAACCTCCTCCCCCAAATCATTAACTGGAGTGGGTCAGAAGCCATCAAAAGTCGAAGGCCCCCTTTTTGTTGGTTCGCGTTCAAGGGGGATACTTTCCCCCAGAAAGTTGAACTAAGTAAATAAGAAGGTCACAAGGCCCTCTTTCGAGAAAACCAGGGGGTGTACGCTGGATCGGGCTTGGACATTGGTCTTGAACATGTGTTTATTTTGCATGCAACTTGATAAACTCTTCGGGTTGGATGATAGAAGGGGGAGAACAACCTGGACCCTCAGAATTCCCTTACAAACTGGTTCTTGCACCAAAAGTAGTTTGAGGGGAACAGGAACACCAATTCCCAACAGTTGGCACGTTAAGGGGTACCTCCCGACTTTTAGTTTCAAAAGCTCCTGGGCTTCAACTCCAAATCCAAACCACTGGGCTCCAAGCCACCAAGTAGAGGGAAGCTGGGCACTGCTCTGGGCAGCGGCGATCGCGTCGGTCGCCTTGTCGGGCCAGTTCTGCGCCAGGAAGCACTGCCACAACTGTGCGTGGAAGTGCTGCCGTGTCTCCGAAGTGGGCGTCAGCACCGAGACACGGCCCAGGACCTCGGAACATGTTAGACTGTTAGCCGAGGGTCGACAAAGAAACCAACAATACACACGCATAACTTTTGCGGTGTTTTGTGTTCTTTCTTTGCATGTGTTCTAAGAATATGTGTAAATATATCTGAAAATATACGTAGTATATATACGTAACACAGATTCTGAACAATGAAACCGAGCAGCTTCGCGGGTCATTGACAAGCTACAGGACATAAACCGACATTCCAGGAGGGTCAGACAACATCTGCTTTTTCGGATGAAAGCCGCCGCACGAGTTCCTACCCAGGGACCAGAAGGGTGCCACTGAACAACTGCTTAAAGGGGCGATCGGGTACTTAATAAGTGGTTGGCAAGCTAAGCCAGCAGATTTGTGTTGGGCAAGTGGGTAATTAGTAATCCGTACCAAGGAAAACTCACAGTTGGTGCGAAAAGGTGATGTATGAAATCACAAACAGGGGCAAAATCTAGGAACCTTACACCTTCCATCAACCTTCAACCACCCCTAAGCCCACCACCCCCACCACCCAACTACTGCCCAGGGGGCAGGAGCTAAACATTTCCACAAAAAGACCGTAAATAGAATAAGTGTTCTTCTTTTTGCGGGATGCCCATGGTCCAGCTACTGCTAGGGGTGGCAGCAAGTGCAGCAAGCGCCTCACAGCGTGTCACCCGCGTGTTTACTGCGTGGGAAAGAACGTGAAACAACCGTAGATCGGGGATCTACTTTATTCTATTCTATTTTCGGAACTGCTAAATAGGCAGTAGTTACGAACAAAAGATGAAAACAGTAGTCGGGGTGCTGCCCTAACCCCACCCCCAAAATTGCTACAAGCCACAACGAAAAAGACATATTGCGCCCCCAGGCGGTCGCTTCCAGAAAACTCCGAGCCTCCGCAGACCGCCGAAAGCCGCGGACGCCAGCGGATTGGAGCGCCGCTTCCAAAGGACCTGCGAGAAATCAGCCAGTATATAGAAAAAGGGTAAAGAAATCGAATCGTGGAACCCCCGTTTGAGTCAACAGAGGACAACCCTCTCCTACCCTCGGTGGTTACCTGTGGTTGACAAGTCTCAACCATGAAGACAAATCTAATTTACAACCCTTTGAACAAACAAATCAAACCTCACTTCCTGAGCGGATTGGCCAAAGTCCAAACTTTTTGGCTGCCACTAAACTGGTCTTTTGAAAAATGAGGTGCACCACCCAGTTTTGTCGATTTTGGTGGGGATTGGGATGTTCACTGGGGGTACGGGATTTTGACCCATGGCCAAATGTGTTATAAAGTCCAGGAACTCAGGGAGCAAGAAACCCGCTCCTACCCCTCTGTGATTGAAACGTATCGACCATGGGGTGGGCCAACGACCTGAACCCAAGACACCACCTTGACCCGACAAGTTGGCCTACAGAATTTGTGACCAAGTCCAACCCAGATCTGTAAAATTGCAACTTAATGTCCAATGTCTGAAGCCGGTAGCCCCTACAACGACCTGTAAGTATGGGGTCCGATAAAGCTGTGAAATTGCAAGTTGGTCCATCCCCTCTTGGTTTTACTTCAGGGCAGATGGCAAAAGCATGGGCTATTTGGCAAGTGGCCTTCTCGAGGTCCGGTTTTCCCAAAGAAGTGAAGAAAGCCAAAACGGGTGGCATGCTGCAACCCGATAATTGTTTGTTTTCTTCCCCCTCTGGCAGCGCCCATTGGGGTTGAGCTGTCCTTCCTGGTCCTCATGGCATATTCCAGCCAGCCTCACTTGAGCGGTGCCGAAAATAGGGTACATAAAACCCTCTACTAACAAACCGCTTTCGCGGAACCTGTCGCGATGCTTTCGCGGCCACACGTTTCACTTTCGCGGGCATGTGTTTTGCAATGAGCTTTCGCGGGCAACACAGAAACCGCAAACGTGCACTTTCAACCACTTTCGCATCAAGCTTTCGTGAGCTTTCGCGCCCTGCGCTTTGGCTTTCGCGAGGCTTCGTTAGGAGAGGCCCTCAATTAACTCCTTTCATAAGGGTTTTTTGGCGCTGCTCACTTGGCTGATATCCAACTTGAAGGACCAAGGTGAACAAACATTGGGCGTGCCATATTGCCATCCACACACACAGAGGGGCCAACTCCCCGGGCATGCTAAACCACAGTTCTTTGAACGTGTCCACTTCTTATATGGTATCCACTAGAAACCCTCGCCCCGAACACAACCATGTTTTCCATACCCCCCCCTGTAAGGCCATCAGGAAACGTTCAAAAATACACCTGGAGCAAACTACAAATCTTTTCGCAAGGACAAGCACAGGAAGTCTGAGACAACGAGCACAAGTTTGCAGGGCCGGCAAAACTGCATAGGGGTAAAGCATCACATACACACTCTTTGGGAAAGACTAGGATAGACCTACATTGGAGGTGTTTGCGGGGGTTGTAGGAGCACTTTTATGACGGCAGGTATCTACTGAGAATAGTGAAGCCGCAGTGTGAAGCTTCCCCAGCAAGCCCTGACCAAATGGAATCAAAGAAGCCTACGAACCTACAGCAATCCATTTCGGGCTTCTCATGGCCCCCTCCCCGTTTGTTGGGAACATGCCCCCCTTCACTTACCCACATTCAGCAAAACACACCCGTTCTGTGATGCCAACATGGGTCATTCCCATGACTACTTTATCACTTTGACAAAGAGCGTGACCCGAAAATGATTCCCCCCTGCAGGACACAGTGGTACACAAATGTTTGCTCGAGCTTTCGTGGCAAATAAGTGCGCGAGCAATGGTAAACGCAAACACATGCAAACACACGGATTGCAGGGCAGAGCTTTGGCTTTGAACACGTTTTGGAACTGCGCCCGAGTTGCGGAACATTGCGCCCGAGCAGCGGGAAATTGCGCTCGAGTTGCGGGTCCGTTTTCTCGAGCACTTCACCAAAGCTGCTAGGCAACCTCAAAAAAAGTGCTCCAGGCCATACCTCACTTCCTGAGATCCAGAAAAGTCGAGGCATTTTGCCAAACATGGGGACTCCGGAAGCTGCCAAAGGCTGCCTCTTTAAAGGCAAATTTGGATACTTAAAGGGGCCATTGTACTTAGTAAGTGAGCAATAACACTGCTTGTAACCGACAAAAGCCATGGTTATAAGTCTCCGTTCAGTGGGTTACAACCAGCTTACTCATCACTTACTAAGTTAAGTATCCCTTGCTCCGAGTTCGAAGTTCGGCTCCCTTCCAACCAGATCGAATTTCCATCCGGCGTGTCGGGCTCCGGCCCGGCTTCGCCTTCCGGTTGGCATGGCTGTGCCATGGTCGGCGCCCCCCCCGCCACAAAATGGCCCGATGCTTCTTTTGGCCCGAGTCTCACTTGTTTCTTAGGGACCTCGAAGAACAAGATTTGCTTAACATTTGGGACATTTGCTGAAAGTGAACCAAACAAAATTGTTGGCTTTGAACGATACTGAGGAGTTGAGCGAAACGATTCTTGGGCCTTGACTCACTGTTGTGGTGGACACCTACGGAACAACGTCGCCACGCTTCTTAGCTTTGGCCCGCAAATGGCAAGGCTGAGCCAGAACAGCCTCAGTGAAGCCGGCTGCGGTCGTCTCGGTGCGGTTCATGGGGCTGTCCGAGGCGCAAGTTGTTTAACACGAAATCAGCTTTACCGAAGCCTGAGCAAAGGAAGCCCCTTACTAAGGGGTCATGGTGAAATCGGTTTTCCCCCGAATCGGCGAGCTCGCCAAAAATCTGCCCAGACTGATTTAATTTGTCGATGCCTTCCCAAGAATTGGACTCAAGTCCAGGCGCTCGAGGAGTGAGCTAGGCTTCCGCAGAAGGATCTCCCTGTCAAGCCTGAATGCCCCAAACGGGGTTGCTGTCCATACAAGCTCGGAAGGGCCAAGGGAACAGAATCTACACATTTTCTTGAAGGTTTGGAGAGTCTATTGCCATCTTTCCAGCATCAGAAGTGGCCTTGCGGCTTCCACTTCTATTGATGGGAGGCCCACCAGCTAAACAGAATAAATTGCCCGGGCCCGAGCTTGCCTCCCCCCTTCTCCGTTCGGTGAGCTGGGTGAATCTGTCCCTCTCACGCTTGCCATGGGTTGCCATGGGACCCACCCAGGACAGAAAAACAGAAAAACATGGGGCATCCTTCGTTGATCCGATCACACGTGCGCTAAGCTAGCTTGACTCACAAATCCACATCAATCCTGCCTGAAAAGCGCAATCTTAAGCCCCTGCTTCATGCTTCCCCTTCTACCCGCGTTTTGGGGAAGGCCCCTAACTGTCGCTTCCCTTCGAGCATAGGTTGGCATCAAGAATCAATGCCGCGCCTGTCAATCAAAGAAAACGGTGAGATAAGCGAATGTGAGCTCCTTCCAAAAAATGCAAAATACTGCCAAAAACAAATATGTTCTAGCATGTGTTTTGGATTGGTGGTTTGGTGGTAAAGGGGTGGTTTCCCATTTACCCTCTACAAGAACCAGGGGTTCAAATCCAAATCCAAACCACCAATGCAAACCGTCAACTAAGCGCAACCTGAAGGTCTGGGGAACTTGGCGCGAAAAAGAAAAACATATCCGAGGATGCGGCTCTTCTCTGGTGATCTGGTGGTTCCCATTGGTGTCCATCTTGTGGAAAGCGTTGGACATGGTCGACCACTTGGCCTCAGGGCGCTAACAAGAGGCTTCTGGCCAAATACCCCTGAACGAAGATCGGGTGACCCAAAAATACAATGCCCGTACACCAAATATGCGTAGCTAGATTTATGCATATGAACATATACGTAATTACGAGTAGTGTTCAAAACAGGTCGGGTTCAATCAAGTAGGCCGAAACTGCTGAAGCAAAGGGCCGGCGACGGTGAATTCACTTTGGAAGGGATCTGATTTAAACATTTTCCTTGAGGCTTGAGGATATTCTTTGCATCGCGGTGGGCTGCCAGCAAAAGGCAACGTGGACCCGAACTGAGCGGACCCTGTACCCCCATTTAAGAAGGAGCCTATGGCTATTTGTGGCCCAACAGCAACCGGGGTTGCCATCGCGACTGCGCAATAGCAAACGGGCTGGAAGCCACCTCAAAAAACCAAAGGCTCAGTACGCAGGGTTCACATATGGGTCCAAGCCACTCTATTCAATCAACAGGCCAACATCATCTTCGCGCGTTGGCCAATCCGACATTCACCTCATCCCCGACAAGCATGAGAGACCAACTGGCAGACCATAGTGGCAGGGAAGGCAACAGCAAACCCTTTACTGACTTGTTCAGCTGACTGGCCAGACCATGTCAAAAAACTGTTGGGCCTCGATAAACTCGGCGAAAAAACCGGGCAATGAACCACAGAGAGGGCCAACTGCCCCGGCGAAAACAAAGCTCCCCCGCAGAGCTTGTCAAAGTCCCACCGATGTTGGAAACTTCCCATAGAATGGTCTCACAATTGACCCCAAAGAGCCCTAGGACCTATTAAGCCCACTAGGCGCCCATTCCGATTGGGCAGGGATCCCAATCTCACTGGACGTTAACCATTTCGAGGGTGTCCCCCGTTTTCAGACACACCCAAATCTGAAGTCCAGAGTGGTCAGGTCGATTTGGGCTAGCCGCCCGGGCTTCCGCCTTTCATGGGATTACAGGGTTCCTGAAAGGATACATTCAAAAGCCACCTGCTTTACAAGCATGTGGATCCTCTACATGAGCTGGCAACCAAAGTAGCGTTTTGATCCTTGGGGTGGAAGTGTGGCTAAAGGGCCTTACTTTAAGTGGGTAACCACAACCCACAAAACCCGCTGGTCATCAGTCTCCTAAGAAGTGGGTGATATTTTTCCAGGCTCACTCTCACCACTTTGATGGAAAACATCCGCCAGGCCCTGGCCAGCAACAGCTTGTTCAGCACCTTGGCCGTAACTTCGCCTGCGAGGGCAAGCGAAAAAACGGAGGCAACCGGCTGCGTTACGTGGCGCGAACGTTTAAAATCGTTTGGAAAACACGATTTTAAAATTGGGGGTTGACTATTTTGATTCATGCATACCCTTTTGTGGGGTAGACCCTTTTGTGTGGCGTTGACCGCGGCCCTAGCGGAAAAAAAGAAGAAGTTACTTTGGGGTTGGAGCCAGTGACCAGTTGCAACCAGTGACCGTCTCTACATATGTTGGTGACCCCTTATCACTTAGTCGAACCTTTCACGGACTCGGATCCCTATGACATTGGCCAATGCCATGGGGCTGTTCCAGTTGCAGGTTGAAAGTGGGCAGAAAGCCTTTGTACCTAGTCTAACGCATGTGCAATGTGTTGGGTGACCGGGTTTCTATTCCACACTTGAACAAAAAGGGAGTTTAAAAAGATGTGATTTTAATGGTCTCACAGGCTTGCTTTCATAGCATGCCCCGAAAAAAAAGAAAAGCACACCACTCCGCAATGAAGCGCAGCCACCATGGCCACAGGCGAAATAATGGCCCATGACTCATGTGGCCCTTTTCAACCTAATCTGTTCCTTTTCAAAAAGGGTCCAGGAATAGGTTTGATGCACACGCAGAACCGCGCCTGCGACCGGCTGGGCCACCCTTAGAAGCCAGGCGAGGCTGAACACACAGCGCTGACAATTTCTGGCAAAGATGTCAACTAGACACCTACGCGCTTGATAGGACAACAAAATTAAAAGGAGGTTGTTGGAACAAATGCGGCTGGAACATGCTTAGACAAGAGTTTGTCCGGCTCTGCTCATAAGCCGTGCTGGCATATGAACTTCTCTGCGCTCAGCACATCTGCGTAGAGCTCATCCGAAAAACTATGTGCCAAATACGGCAACAATTATCTTCATATGTGCGCATGCCTGCAACGTTTCAAATGTGCACCTTCATTGCATGTTGATAAAGTTCGGTTGATTTGCCCCGGCAGTTGTTTTGGTTCGAGGACGTGTTTTTTTTTTGGGGGGGGGGTTAATGAACTATGAGGGAGCTTTCCCCAATCTGTGCCCAGCCCTCGCTGGGGCTTGACATTGCTTGTGGCTATCTAGTTGCATTGCGGGCTTGCTTCCGTCTGCAAAGATTGGCAGAGCACTTCCTTTAGCAGCTTTCTTCGAACATATCACTTTACTCAACGATTTGCTCGCGGATTCAGCGCATCAGCAGCACTACATTCCAGAAATGCAGCCTGTGGCCAGCTTCTCGTGAAATTGCACCTGAAAACCCAAGCAGAAAAGGCCGAAACACACACGGAAATTGCTCAAGTTGCCCCCGTGGAACTGGCAGTGGCCATGAGCTTCTCATGGCGCGGCGGAAAACCATGTGCAACGGGCAATGAAGAAAGCGATGTCCAAATGAGCAGATCCAGGTACATGAGGTAGAGGGCAAACAGGCCGGGCAATGCGTGAGTGTGACATTGCGATGCGAAAACATGTTTGGAAAACAAAGACGAATGCACACATTTTGCACACGTGGTTGGTCCAGGTATTGTGAATAGACTCATGGGCGCATATAGATGCACATGTGGTCAACCGTCAATCTAAATGCCTCGCAGTAAGTCCGGAGAGGGCTTGCCCCAAGGCTGACTTGATGAACCCTAGTTCGAAACCCAGTAAGAAAGTCTGCCTGCTTGGCGAAGTTTCTCCGGGGTTTCCCTGCGGTAGGCAAATGGACAATTTAGGGGGATTCAAGCCTTGAGGCTTGGTCAGCATAAGGTGCGGAGCAACCTTGCTGCCTACTTCGGATTTAAAGCCCACTTGTAAGAGGCCCCCCGGAAGTAGACGCGTCCGTTCTAAAAAGGGGAATCACCCCTAGTATGGTCCTCCGGATTAATCCAAAGTTGTCAAGAACCCTCTCTCACATGCTGGCTTGCTTGCTTGCTTGCTTGCTTGCTTGCTTGCTTGCTTGCTTGCTTGCTTGCTTGCTTGCTTGCTTGCTTGCTTGCTTGCTTGCTTGCTTGCTTGCTTGCTTGCTTGCTTGCTTGCTTGCTTGCTTGCTTGCTTGCTTGCTTGCTTGCTTGCTTGCCCGCATGCCCGCATGCCGCATGCCTGCCTCTCTCTCCCGCATGCCCGCCTGTCTGCTTTTGTTTGGTTGCTTGCTTGCCAGAACGCAATGCACACACACCCGAAGAAAAGTTACCCATTTCTGGGGGCCCGGCGGGGCAATTGCAGCGCTGGGGTCCAAGACGGTGAGGAGCTCGTTCCGGCTCAAGCGCCCGTCCTGCCGAAAAGCATTCCCAAAACAAGGCAACCTCAAAAACAAATCAGCTTTCCTAGAATTGGACACATGGATTGGTGGTTTTGTAGTTGGGGGGTGGTTTCCCCTTCACCCTCTACAAGATCCAGGGGTCCAAACCACCAGCTAAGTGGCACCTGTTTTAAGGGGCCCCGCGTTATGGAAACGTTTCCAGCGTGAAGAAACTTGCCGGGCTCTCCCAACTCCGAGGGACCCGGTAGGGTCCGTGGGAAAGAGGGCCTGAATTTGCGGAACTGAGGGGGGGATTTGGAAAGCTTCTAGTCAGGTTTCTTGGAAGGGTGACATTGTAGGGAAATAGCGCAACTCGGCCAGGACATGAGCCGTGGCCAACCCTGGTCAGTTGAAATCCAACTTCCCAAACTGAGTCAACACCCAAACCTAGCAAGGTCGTCTGCCCAAACTAACGAATCAGGGCGGCCGCGCCGCAAGAGCAACCCGAAACACCACCATCAGTGGCGCAAGAAGAATCTTTGCAAATTGTCGGGTGTCTTTCAGTGGTCTGAGAAGCAAAAGAAGCCCCAAAACACAGCCAGCATGCAACAGGTCTATCACTTGTTAAGCCAACACTTCACCTTCCCCCTACTTAAGCCTCACTGTTCCAAGGGATCTAGAATAAAAACTTGACCTTGTGGACCACGTCTAAGTTTCGCCCAAATCCGAGGTGTGCATTGTCAAATTAGGCTGGTGGAACGCCTCGCCGCCGTGGAAGGCAAGCGAAACCACATTACAAGAACATCAACTGACATCGCCCGTCCCCCACGCCTGCCACGTTCTCTCTCGCAGCCAATGATTCAGAAAAATGCATTTTATATGGGTTTTCGCAGGGCAGATTCCCAAAAAGAAGTATTTCGCCTAGGCGAAACAAACGTTTAGCATGTGTGCCTATCATGTGCCAGCATGTGCGCACTTATGACACGATGCGCGTGAGCGGGTGTGCTTATAATGTGCCAGCATGTGTGCACTTACAACATGATACGCTGGAGCGGGCGTGCTTCACATTTGGCCAGCATGCGCGCAGATATAACATGACGCGCTTGAGCCGGTGTGCTTACCATGTGCCAGCATGTGTGCACTTCTGACATGATGAGCGGGTGTGCTTATCATGTGCCAGCATGTGTGCACTTATGACGCGATGCGCGTGAGCGGGTGTGCTTATAATGTGCCAGCATGTGTGCACTTACAACATGATACGCTGGAGCGGGTGTGCTTAACATTTGGCCAGCATGCGCGCAGATATAACATGACGCGCTTGAGCCGGTGTGCTTATCATGTGTCAGCATGTGTGCACTTCTGACATGATGAGCGGGTGTGCTTATCATGTGCCAGCATGTGTGCACTTGTGACGCGATGCGCGTGAGCGGGTGTGCTTAACATTTGGCCAGCATGCGCGCAGATATAACATGATGCGCTTGAGCGGGTGTGCATATCATGTGCCAGCATGTGTGCACTTCTGACATGATGAGCGGGTGTGCTTATCATGTGCCAGCATGTGTGCACTTATAACGCGATGCGCGTGAGCGGGTGTGCTTATCATGTGCCAGCACGTGTGCACTTATGACACGATGCGCGTGAGAGGATGTGCTTATCATGTGCCAGCATGTGCGCACTTATGACACGATGCGCGTGAGCGGCTGTGCTTATCATCTGCCACATGTGTGCGCTTATGACACGATGCGCATGAGCGGCTGCGCTTATCATCTGCCAGCATGTGTGCACTTATGACACCATGCGCGTGAGCGGGTGTGCTTAACATTTGGCCAGCATGCGCGCAGATATGACGTGATACGCATGAGCGGGTGTGCCAAAAGTGAAGACAGTTGCACGGCGGCGAGGAGTCCCACCCTGCTCAAATTACGGTGCATATGTTAGTCGACTTACCCTGAAAAATAAACGATTTTGGAGACCCCCGCCCCATTTGCTCAAGTCTCCTGCAAAGAATAAACAAAATATGTCCAATCATGATAATCCCCTTTACCACCAACAGGGGAAAACAGGGCTGTGGGAAATGACCACTTCTGTGATACAACAACAAGGGCCTCCCAAAGACTATTCCCCCGTATAAAGAGGGGAGGGGTTCCCACTTCTGTGATAGCCCCTTGATCCCACAACCCTGGGGCAAAATAAGACATATTCTTAAGCAAATACTAAGAGGCATAGGCGTCCTTTCAGGGGAAATAGATGGCCCTGGTAGATAACTAAAACACCAGGTAGACCAGGGCCATCTATTTTTTCTAGCAAAACAACCAAAAAGGACACCTATGCCAAGAGGGTTTGTCCAGGTCGCTCCCAACGCCCTCCGCAGCTCAAACACTTTTGCGCCGAGCAAAAGGGTCGAAGGCTGCGGCCAAAGGCCGTTGCTTAACCAGGGCAGCGCCTTCTTCTAACCGGCTACTGGTCCTGGACATCAAGAAGCTTCCCTTTGCCCTAGGACAGGACACCTTTGATCTGCAAATTTCAATTATCTACTAGGAATCCATTTCAACAACGTTCGAAAAATACCTTCAAATGCTGGTTAACCTCAATCTACGCAATTTACGAAGAAACATCGAAACTGAAAATGCCTGCTTCCAATAACAACTTTGAGGCACGGAGCAACCCTGTATATTGCTGGCTGCGATTGAACGAAAGCCCCGCAAGGAGAAATGGGGGGCAATGGGGAGCCCCCGGCATGTGCCAAGAAACACTTTTCCTGACCAGTGGCGCTGGAAATCACATGAAGCATGGGCTGAAGCCTTTTGGATATACACGGCCTACACATTTCTCAGCGCCTCCGGATTGCTGAGATCACGGCACTTGGCAGGCGATAATTGCAGCGGCACTGCCCCCAAGAATTTCTTAGCTCTTTGGCCATGGGGCAGTGGCGGATGTTGAACCGAAAGTCTTCCCCAAAAAAGAAGAAAGGGGTGCCCAAGCGACCAAGGAACCGGCTATGGATCTTGAGGCCTCAAAGTGCGGTGCAAAAGTTCGTCCATCCACAGTACCTCGGATTGGAATCTGTTCACTGCCGCGTGCGCTCGGAGAAGCGCCAGCCGGATATGGGCGGCTAGGTGGTCACGCGCGGCCTTACAAGAAGCCAGGAGACATGTCCTGCAGCGTCACCACTCGCTCAAGAGTTTTCAGTCAAAGGTGGCGCCATACCGCCCATATGTCTAGACCTCTAGCTTTCTGAGAATTAAGCTGATCTGGTAAAATCCAAGCGTCCGTCCCCTTGCGGTTGCTCGCTTCCATATTGGTAATGTCGGGGATCGATTACTCAAAGGGTACCAACTAAGAAAGTGTTGTTCCAAAATTGGTCAGTTGCCAGAATGATCAAAAGGTACTGCACCATGTTGTTGTCCACTTTGCCTAGTGGTTGGAAACATTAATGTGCAAAGGGTCAGGTTCATTGGCTTAAGTGAAAGGCGTCACCAAGAAGCTGACCTATTCACTTTTCCGGCCGGAATACAATTCAAACGCTTCGGGCCTTGACGAAAAAAGGTTGGAGAAACCCTGCTAACGCAAACTCACCTGCTCTGTGGGCACAAGGAGTCCAAACTGGCCACTAGGATCAAGCGTATCAGGAACCCGCCCCGGGACTCAAGCCCTGCAGGGATCAACCAAACTTGAAAAAACAAAGTCCTGGCAAAACCTTCAGGGTCTGAGTCGTCTTCCCTAGCAAACATTTGGCCAAAGGTCTCAAAAAGACCGAAAACCAGGAAAAACAGTCGAACTTCATCCCTTTCAGAATTGGGAACGTCCTATGCCTTCACGAATTTTGGGTGACCCTACGTGGGCCTGCTGAAGGGTTGTAGGATGCTCTGCGCAAGCTTGTCCCTTGGCGCAAGCTGGCAAGAACCCGTTTGGGCCCATGAATATTAGGCAAATAAAATCCAAGATTGTCCTCTGAATGTTCGTTCCAACTAAACACAACTTTTGGATGCTGCCCCCGCCCCCCACCACTTCTGGCTGTTCGCCCAGAGTAAAACTACTTGTGGCTTGCTCCCCCTTGAAATGAGGGGGAGAAAAACACCGAAACGTCCAAACATGTAACCAATTTTCAGTTGTCTGCTTTTTGCAAATTGTTCAAACACACAATCGAAAAGAAAGGGGGTCCTTGTAAATTGGCATGGAACCCGCATATTCCCACATGTAGAGAACCCCATGGAAAAGATCCACATGAATCGCTCTTGGACTTACCTTCGGACTCACCTCGAATCGAGATCGAAGGCTTGACCCGTTGGTTTGCGACAGGCATCTTTTCGAAAGCCGAGAGCCCATAGGAGCCAATTGGCAAAAATAGACCGCCCCGGTAAATAGAAAAAAACTAAACCAGTGGAACCCATCTACTTCTAACCAAACCGGTGAAAAGGACACCTGTGCAAAAGCCTTAGTATTGAAGAAGCGCTTCCACGCCCAAAGCGGACTTGGAACAAAATGTTTGTTGCCGTTCTTAATCCAGGCTTAGAACTTGAAGGCTTTGATTTGGCCAAGAATGGCCGTCCCAACTCCCGTAAGGGTCACCCAACAGTTACAGAGGGGTGGGGGGGGGGGGGGGAAACGTTGTGGGCCCCACCACCAAAAATCATACCCTAGGCTTCCAAAGGCCATTAAAAGAATGGTCGAGGTCGCTAGACTGTTTTTGCCGAAAGACCGATTTTTGGCGCCTGGCCCTGAATATCCAAAAAATCATGTTTTTTGTGGCCCGAGAATTGCTTGGGGTCAGGTCACTGAAAGTCACGCCGCCCTCATCCTCCCAGCTGCAAATGACTGCACCCAAGCCACTCATTCCCTGGCTTGCCAAATGTATGGTCGCATCACTTTTCAAAATCGCCAGGTGTCCCGCCTACTGTAGAGGCGTGCATAGATTCTTCGCATGTTGGTACTGAAGTCCGGCTTTATTGAAAAATGCTGCAAACTTAGTGGCTTCGGGGCATCGCTGCCGATCAAACATGCGTTGTGGGCTCCTGCGGGTATGGTTGCCCACGCTTTTAAACGTACTTTCCACGCTTTTAAATGTACTTTCCACGCTAAAAAACGTACTTTCCACGGTTCGTCCATGGTTCGTCCACGCCTCATTTTCTTTTGAAATCGATTAAACAATCAACAAACAACACGCGATCAGACTCTGTGGAGCTGTGGACAAGAAGTGGAAACACACGCACGGCCATGTGAGGGACAAGCCAAATTGACACAGCATGGTGACGGCGTGCGATTACAACGGGATGAAGCGACTGTAAAACATACTTAGCTTATTTCATAAAAGGCAGCAATATAGTTCTTCAACCCCTCACTGCACAGAAGCGCGTGGGGATGTCAGGAGCCGACCGTCTCAAGTTGGCCAAGTTTGTCTAGACCTACTTTTAATAGTCGGGTGACATTACTTTTATATCCTTTCGTTGTTTAAATGGTCGAGGCTATTTAAAGAATAGTCGAGGAAGCACAGGGCATATCTTTGATCTTGGCAGTGAAAAATGAAAAACGTAAAGTCAATTCAAACGAGACAGAACACCCAAGCCCCCCTCCCTCTCCGCGCAAAAACTAGAAGATGGCTGGCCCGAATTAGCGGCGGCGGCTGTGCAAGTGCTCTGAGAGTTCCTAAAGCAAGTTCTTTGTGCAAGTTGCTCTGGGCAAGTTGTTGGCGCGAGTTCCTCTGGGCAAGTTCTGACCAAGTTCCTGGCGCAATTTCGTCTCAGCAAGTTCTCCAAGCCAGTTCTCTCAGCAAGTTGCTCTGAGCAAGTTGTTGGCGCGATGTCCCCCGAGCAAGTTCTCCAAGCAAGTTCTCTCAGAAAGTTGCTCTGAGCAAATAAAAGTTGCGATTTTCCAGCCAGAGCTGCGAAAGCTTACTTCGCGTGCTACTTTCGTACTTAAAAGTTGCGATTTTCCGGCCGAGCTGCGAAAGTTTACTTCGCGTGCTACTTTCGCACTTAAAAGTTGCGATTCAAAATATGCTAGCCTGGCTCGCGAAAGTTGACGTAGTTATATAAAAAATGTTGAAACACACTGCGGCAACAATTCGAGAAAGTCCGCAACAAGTAGAAACAGTCCCCATGTCTTACAACGACCATGCCAATCTCCGCAGAGGGTCGCGCGCACCTTAAAAGTCGCCAAAGTTCCCAGCTTTTGACATTGACCACGCCGATCCCCGCAAACCACGCAGATCTCCGAAGAGGATCTCGCGCTAGAGAAAAAACAAAAAAAAACAGTTTTTTTACATCGACCACGCCGATCTCCGCAGAGGGTTGCGGGCGCATGTTAAAAAGTCGCAAAAGTCCCCCCAGTTTTTTGACGTCGACCACGCCGATCTCCGCAAGTTGGTGCAGGCCTGCCGCCTTCAAAGAGCAATTAAAACTTGTCGCGCTTCGCGTTCTTTATTTCACGCGCGAATTCAAATGAATGTTAGCAAAGATACTTCTCTAGTGTAATGCACTGAAAAGCTCTGGTGCAAATATCTTGTGCAACTTGCTGTTGTAGCTTGCTGAAGCAACCTCTTATGTGACATGCCAATGCAACTTCCTAGTGTAACTCGCCACTGCAACTTGTTAGCGCCACTTGCTAGTGCTGCTTACCAGTGCTACTGGCTAGTGCATCTTGCCAGTACTACTGGCTAGTGCATGTTGCTAGTGCTATCTTGCTAGCGCTACAGGCTAGTGCAGCTTGCTAGTGCTATCTTGCTAGTGCAACTCAAGAGTGCATCTTGCTAGTGCTATGTTGCTAGTGCTGCTGGCTAGTGCATCTTCCTAGTGCCATCTTGCTGGTCCAACTCGCTAGCGCTACTTGCCAATGCAGCTTGCTGGTGCTATCTTGTGCTACTTGTTGGTGTAATTCGCTGCAGGTCTTTCCTGAAGAACCCTTCGCAATGCTTTTGGGGGAAAATGATCCCCCGAAGAAGAAGCAATATGCGCTTGGAGGGTTTAACATGGCCATTCTTCAATCCTAAACCCATGATATAAGACTTTTCTGCCACCATCATTTTAGGAATGGCAACTCCTAAGATTGGCCAACCAAAGTCCAAGCTCTGTTTTAGCCAGACCTTGGAGCTGGTCTTCCGAAAAAGTGACGAGTGCAGTAGATTCGGTGGTACCAAACAGACGCTTCCGCGGACCGTTTGTCCGAAGAGACCCGTCCTGAGCGTCTTCCGTAGCGTTCGCCGCGTGGGAGTACTGCTCATAGAGATCCCCCTCCGGGCTTGTCGCAGCTATGGCGCCTCCTTAGCTCGTCGTCTCAATCAAGGAGCCCGAAAAAGGTGCAGGTGTTTGCCCTTGCGCATGGTTCTGAAAAAATGAATATGCCGGAACTTGTGATGCCAAGGTGGCTGATTCCCATGTCACTTCGAAGGGGTTCCCTTGTCCGAATCTATGCATCGTTCAAGGGCACGGAGACATCAAGCATGGCACTGTGCCCTTCCGTAGGGGGGGTTGTGGGTGGGGGGGGTGGGATATGGGAGCCTGACTTGTTTTTCCCCAAACACCTGAAAGCTATGGGGTCTCAAGGCTCTAGGGGTGGGTCGGAGCAGCTTTCAGGGAGGGTCGCCTCTTTAACTTGGACGCAAATAGTAACAACGAAAGATGTTGGCTAGCATTGCCACGGAAGAGGACACACCAACTGCTTGCTGCCCCTGGCGGTTCCTGAGCGAATCGAAAAAGGTCTGGAGAATTCACCTGGTAGAGCCAGCTAACACGAGGGCATTTCTGAAACGGGGTGGCCCATAGATGCAAGCCCCGTTTCAGGGTTCAGCCGCTCCGCCGCCAGGGGGCGGTTATGTGTAAGGCCAGACATGTTGTGGCCATTCGGGCCATTCCCTGAGTTCCCCAGCCAAAAGAGCCTGAACTTTTACAAGGGTCCCCATATTTTTTTTTATGGGGGGGTACTGTTGGGTGAAAATGGATGGCACAATCCCACCAATTTGGCGTTAGTCATTCCTTTGCCCATATATTTGAAATTGCGCCATCCACTTTCACCCTGGGGCTTGGATATCTCCGCGGTTCTGTGCTTCATGAAGTGCATGATGGCCCACAGCTCCAGCGGGCCCCAAATGGGGAAGGTCACCTGGTTCGGACTCCTTTTTGGCCAAAACGATCTTGTTATGTGCATACGATAGCATGTACAGTTCCAGAGCATAGACAGTGTGTGCATGTGCGCGTACAACTGGCATTGCAGAACAAATCCACATGAACCATGGTCCAATTTACCAGTTTCCCCTAAAAAACATGGAAGTAATAGTGGGGAAACTCCGAAAGGACCAAGAACGAGTACTTTTGACTGAATGCCTCCAGAACTGTGCGACATATACACATTTGCGGAAATGGATATGACAATGGCACCCTCTGCCAAAGGGTGACCTTCCCCCACATAAGCAGGGTGTTGAAATGTTCTACCCAAACGCGTTTTCAGCGCCAAACATCGACGCTGCACCAAACAAGTGAACCAGTGGCTCACAACGAACCATCCTCAAGAAGCGAAACTGGCAAGGCAAGTCTGGCAATGATTTGGGGAAATCAGGGCACATACGGCCAAGCAAGGCTTCGGCCGGGGCCATCGTCTAAAGCCCGGCGCGCAAAACGCCAAGAAATCGACGCGCCGCAGCAACGGTGTCACACTTGCAACTGGTGACCCCAAGCTGAATCTTGGCACAAGTCTCCCTTCAGGGCTAAGCCCCACCCACTCGTTGCAACCAGCGACCCTGACACAACCCATGTTTGAGTTGACCATTGGAGGCAAACCACCCAATAAAAAAGGGATTGCAAGGGTGGCACTGCACAAGCGTGCTATGTTCAAGTTTGTCACCAGTAAATGCCACACGTTCAAACCAATAGCTTTGGTTCAAAAGCCTGTGCCATGCGAATGCATGTGCAATTGCGCCATGAACTGTCCAGTTACATACATACGCACAGACATATATATATAATGTACATACATTGCATTGCATTGCATTGCATTGCATTACACTACATTACATTACATTACATACACACATGCATACATACATACATACATTACATACATACATTTATACATACATACATACATACATACATTAATACATAACAAACAAACAAACAAACAAACAAACAAACAAACAAACAAACAAACATACATACATACATTACATACATACATACATACATTACATACATACATACATTACATTACATTACATTACATTACATTACATTACATTACATTACATTACATTACATACATACATACATACATACATACATACATACATACATACATACATACATACATACATACATACATACATACATACATACATACATTACATACATACATACATACATACATACATACATTACATTACATTACATTACATTACATTACATTACATACATACATTACATTACATTACATACATACATACATACATACATACATACATACATACATACATACATACATACATACATACATACATACATACATACATACATACATACATACATACATACATACATACATACATACATACATTACATACATTACATACATACATACATACATACATACATACATACATACATACATACATACATACATACATACATACATACATACATACATACATACATACATACATACATACATACATACATACATACATACATACATACATACATACATACATACATACATACATACATACATACATACATACATACATACATACATACATACATACATACATACATACATACATACATACATACATACATACATACATACATACATACATACATACATACATGACATACATACATACATACATACATACATACATACATACATACATACATACATACATACATTACATACATACATACATACATACATACATACATACATACATACATACATACATACATACATACATACATACATACATACATACATACATACATACATACATACATACATACATACATACATACATACATACATACATACATACATACATACATACATACATACATACATACATACATACATACATACATACATACATACATTACATACATACATACATACATACATACATACATACATACATACATACATACATACATACATTACATACATACATACATTACATACATACATACATACATACATACATACATACATACATACATACATACATACATACATACATACATACATACATACATACATACATACATACATACATACATACATACATACATTACATACATACATACATACATGCATGCATACATACAATACATACATACATACCATACCTACCATACCATACCATACCATTCCATACCATACCATACCATACATACATATATACATACATTACATACATTACATTTCATTACATTAATTACACATTACAATACATTACATTATATTACATTACATACATTACATTACATTACATTACATTACATTACATTACATTACATTACATTACATTACACTACACATTACATTGCATTACATTTCATTACATTACATACATACATGCATTACATTACATTACATTACATTACATTGCATACATACATACATACATAACATACATAACATACATAACATACATACATACATGTTACATACATACATACATACATACATACATACATACATACCATTACATTACATTACATTACGTTACGTTACATTACATTACATTACATTACATTACATTACATTACATTACACACATTACATACATTACATACATTACATACATTACATACATTACATACATGACACTACATTTATACCATTCACATTTACATTACGTTACATTCATACATACATACATTACATTACATACATTACATACATACATACATACATACATTACATTACATACATATTTACATTACATACATACATACTTATATACATACATACAAAACAAACAAACAAACACACACACATACGTACATACATTACATTACATTACATTACATTACATTACATTACATTACATTACATTACATTACATTACATACATTACATTACATTAGATTACATTAGATTACATTACATTACATTACATACGTACATTACATACATACATACATGCATATATTACATACATACATACATGCATACATTACATACGTACATACATACATACATACATACATACATACATACATACATACATGCATGCATACATTACATACCTACCTACCTACCTACATACATACATACATAACATAAAATAACATTACATTACATTACATTACATTACATACATACACACACACACATCATATATATATATATACAAATATCCGGTGCCTCCTGTAAAGAGAAACCAGAGCAGAACCACAATACGCCGCGTGAAGCGGCTGCAGGTCACCGCGTCCCTGCCTTGCACAGGATGGTGCCCTCAACAAGGCCCAAGACCTGAAAGCGCCGAAGCCGATGCCCTCGACCAACAAGGCCCTGAAAATTTGAGGGGAGGAACTTAAGGGAAAACCCAAACGGAGGTGCCTTTAAACCGTGGTCCTAGTTTGTCTCATTGGGTTGTTAAGCCTTTTGTAGGATCTCTTTGCAAGAATCGCGGACAGGAAGGGGTTGGACAAATACCCGTGCTCTACCAAGGCCCCTTGTCCACAATGATGGTGGCAAAAAAGAACTTAGGCAGTAAGGATTGTGCGGGACACCCCTTGAAAAGGGGGGGGGGGGTTCGGCTTGCCATGATAAGAAGGGAAAGTGGGAATGACCCTTCAAATGCTATCGGGTTCTTGCAGGCAATGGCTGAAAGTTGCATCCCCATATGCCTGACTACGACCCACCAATCAAACAAAAGCACACGCACACACACACACACCCTAAGGGTATAAGAGCAAGAGGGAGCCCTACAACCCTCTTTCCTACCCCATCAGCCAGACCCGCCCCCCAAGATTTTATAAAATTTCATACCAATCACCCATATCAAAACCCATATAAGTTTCATAACACGTGCCTAACCAACCTCATAATCAAAATGCTTTGAGTTATTCATTTTATAGAATAACTTAAACCATTTCAAACATCCTTAACCTCATTCTTTTCTAAATTTTCTATGTGCTTCCTTGCTCGTTCGTGCCGTGCCTTGTGCTTTAATTTAATCTCACAATCACATACAGAACAATGATATTCTCTCTGTCCGTATTCTTTGTTTATTTCTCGTATTTCTTCCTTATGGTTGTCTCGGTATGTTTTTGAATATACTATTTGCTTGTCTCGGCACTTATCACAAGTTTTATGATTATCTGAAAATAATTCAATCTTTCTATGAACTCGGCAATGAGAACAACATTGTTTTTCCCCTTCATCTGCTACTGTTTCTTTCTTAATCGCTTCTCTTTTCAATTTCTTTATTTCTGACTTCCTTCTTTGCTTTTCACGGCATTTATCACAAGTTTTACAATTATCTGAAAATAAACTGTAATTCTTATAGCGTCCACACCCCGAGCAATATGTCTTATCCATAATCTTCTACTATAATAAGCCACTTACCCTTTAAACCGTTTTTAGGCAAAATGCTTACCGAAGTGGGTTGAAGTCCCCTTATCCAAAAACCCCCAACAACAAAGAGCATAACCAAAAAACCAAACAAGGAACAGAACACAGAACATTCCAAAACAACCAACCAACGAAACATTCCAAAGCTTCTTTTCAAAGAGCATAAGCAAAACCTCAAACAAGAACAGCCCCCCAGTAGTAGCACCAACGAAATCCAAAATAGCCCCAACGAAATCCGAAATAGCACCAACGAAATCCGAAATAGCACCAACGAAATCCGAAATAGCACCAACAAAATCCGAAACAACATCAAACCATTTCCGAAACAGCATCAAACCATTTCCGAAACAGCATCAAACCATTTCCGAAACAGCATCAAACCATTTCCGAAACAGCATCAAACCATTTCAGAAATTGAAATACCTCGTAAGTTGGTCATTTTTAGAAGGAAAATACATTTCAGGAAACGCAACAAAACATTTCAATTTTGTCTCCATTTCAGAAACAGCAACAAACATTTCATAACCAGAAATAAACCAGCTCAAAAATGGAAATAATACTTACTCTGTCAAACTAACCAAGATTTCACAAATCAACTCACTAGGTATTTTGTAAAGGTCTTCCTGTTTATGTTTAACATAATTATCACCCCAACTTTCCTTCCTTCCTGATGGCATTCGCTGGGCTGTTTCAATATGTTTGTTATTCCTTATTTTACCGCAATCCTTGTTACATAAACTTCGGGGGTTCCATTTGTCAAGATTATTCCACAACCTCGTTCTTTTCCTATAATTAAAACCGTATTTGCAATAATCAACATCATTGTACTTCAAACCACTCATAAACGGTTGCATCTTCAACAATCCAGTTTGAGGGTTTTCAATTACCCAGTATTTAGGTTTAAAGTAATCTATTATTTCCAGAGTTTTTAAAACAATACTGTTAGCATATTCAATATTTCTGATGCCAGTTGTTTTTGCTCTGCTGTATTCCGTGCAAGGTGGAGAAGACCAAATAAAATCGAAATGCCCTTTGTCAAACTCTTTGTAATTCCATTTCAAAATATCAGTATTGATGTTAGCATTCTTCAAGTCCAACGAAATTACATTAAAACCTAGCGACCTCGCAATCGTTCCAACACTTCCACTACCTGAGAATAATTCTAATAAATACATATTATTAGAATTATTTAGAAATTAATCTAAGGAATATTTGCCGTTCGCATCCTTAACCAGCTTGTAATATTCAATGGTTTCTTGTCTTGGCATCTTGATTTTATTGTCGTTAATCATTTCACAGTATTTCTTTCTTTTATCATCAAAACTCCCAGCTGGTCTGCCTAAGCCTTTCTTTTGAAAAATCTTATCAATCTTGTCGCGAAGCACGCGAGCCTCTGGCGAGGCGTCCTTCTCATCAACATTATCTGCTATCTTGGCTTGAAACTTTTCATCAATTGCTGTTGTTAAATCTGTTAATGCCTTGATATTCTTATTCAACATATTTACCTTCTTTATCAACTCACTTAATGACACATTATCACTATCTGACATATATATTTATATATATATTTATTTATTTATTTATTTATGCGTTTAACGTGGTGTTAAATCTACTCTTTATATATTATTGTTTCATCATTTCTCTTATGGTTTCCTGTGTTTCGTTTTCACCATTATCGGATGGGGTGACATTCCTCCCAAAGCGTATAGCAATATTATGTGCATCTGTTTCTAAATTTATATCACCGTCTTTACTTTTATCAATATTCATTTTTTTGTCAGTTTTACTTATCTTAAAACCGACAGGGACACACGAGCATTTACAATTTCCCTTCTTTTGTATTTCTAATTCGTTTTTCATTTCTAACATCTTTTGACACATTGGACAAGCAAACTCAATAACTGCTGTTTTATTAATAACTTCTTCACTGTCTTCATCTGCTGATGAAACCGTTGTTTCTGTCTTATTCTTTTTGTTTTTCTTTCTTCCCATTTATATTAATATTTACATTTTTATTTTTGATATATTCAAAAATAAGCTTAATTAATTCTAACGAATAATAACAACATTTTTTAGTTTTATTATCAGTTATCACAAGTTGTTCCACTTTCTCAACTTCATCAATTATATCAATATAATCTGAATAGCTCCTGTCGCGAAGCTTCGCGAGGCTTCTTGCCGAAGCGTCCATATTAAATAATAAGATAAATTATTAAAATTAATCTTATTATCTAGAATACTCGGGGTTCGCCATCTTCTCTTCTCCTCGGGGTAATGGGGCTCTTCACTGCACACGTAAGCTGGGCTTAAACTAATTCAAACTAATTAGCTTCAATGCTTATGATTAAAGCTGATGAAAGAGCCTGTTCTACTATGATATCCCCATATCATAGCAATGCTTTCATACAATAATAAATATAATTATTTTTTTATAAGTATTTATAATATTGTTTTATTATGCCTGATGTAAAACCAATTGATGAAATCAAATATGATTTTAAGCAAAGTAAGCACGAGGTCGTCCCTAAATTGCCGATGAGAGCGATGATTGTAGGACCATCAGGTTCTGGAAAATCAACTTTACTTGTATCAATGATACTTGATATTTATAGAGGAGCATATGAAAGAATTTTTATCTGGTCCCCGTCAGTAAATTTGGATAGCATTTGGTTGCCTGTTAAAAAATACATTAAAGAAGGTTTAAAAGTTGATACTGATAAAGAACCGTGTTGGTGGGATGAGTTCAATGTTGAAGATTTAGAAAGAGTTATAGAAACTCAAAATAAAATAATTGAATATCAGAAAAAACAAGGAACGAAGAAGTTATTTAATATATTAGTTATATTGGATGATGTATCTGATAATCCAGCAATAACAAGAAATAACAAATTGTTAAATTCTTTATTTTGTAGAGGTCGCCACAGTGGAATATCAACGCTTGTCAGTCTTCAAAAATCAACAACTGTTCCACCTATTATTAGAGTAAATATAAGTCATTTATTCTATTATAAAGTTAGAAACTTCAAAGAGATTGAAATTTTACAAGATGAGATGTCTGCTATTGTTAGGAGCGATAATTTACACGAAAGCAAGAAACTAATTTATAAAATCTATGAGACCGCCACTGATGAACCACATAGTTTTTTATATATTAACCTTTTAGAAAAGAACCCCGATAAAATGTTTATGAAGAAGTTTTCACATTATTTGAAAATAACTAATCAATAACATTAAATTTATTGTTTAATGTTTTTGATTTAAATTAATGAAGCGTTGCAAAACTGTAAATTTGGTAATTTATATATTAGTTTGTCTGATTTTTCTTTTTCTAATTTTTCTATTCTTGATACACATTCTTGAATAGATTTAATTATTAAAGTATCCGCTCTCGTTTTTTCATCTACTCTTAAATTCTTAATGTCTTCCATACTGTTATTTTCATCGTCTTTACTTTGACCAATACCCATTATATATTATTATTTAGATTTTTCTTTTTTCAATTCCTTAATTTCTTTTTCAAGTTTATCTACTTTATCATTTAATTCTAATACTGCTTTATGAACTAGCACGGGTAAAACTAAATAATTCAATCCTAAATACTCTCTGTCTTTACTAACAACATTTTCAAATTCTTTAGGAATTACTTTTAAGACTTCATCTGCTATATATCCTATATGAGTTTTACCGTCATCATTTCTATCGTGTCTCTTAAATTTCTTCGGTTTAAATTTCTTAATAATATTCATACAATTAGATTTAATATTATCTATATCATATTTTAATCTTGAATCAGATGAATCAACAAACGTTCCGTTGATGGTTACTGTTGTTGCTGTTAAATCTATATTAGTTCCTGTTGATGGTTCAATTAAATTACATAACAATTTTTTCGTTCC